ATGATGCTTGCAAAGATTCCTCGAAATGAGTCGCTTAAAGGTATATACTTTATTATCTTGCACGGAGAAACCATAGAATACAGGGCCACTGATGCCCAGTACTGCTTGTGTTTGATGTCCAAGAATTTTGCAAGTCCGAAACAAACATGGCAAACGAATACTCGTGGTCCGCGATTCGAAAGTCTACGCATGCTCATATACCGATCTTGGCAAATTTCTATTCCATTTCATAACTTTTGGCGACAAAGAAAATAGGGATCTATAGAATTTCTCGCGTTTCCTTCGGTGGAATTTGCTAGATTTGCTAGACCGTTAAGCATATTTGTGTCCTTCCTAACGCCTGTTAATAAAAAAATTCATAAGACCAAATTTGAGATAGAGGAAGAATACACAAAACTGCAAATAGCGAGAAAACAGCCTTTATAACTCCTATTTTTTTTTTCGGCTTTTAAATGATTGGCAGGACAATTTTCACAAACTGTGAAAATTTTGAGGGATTTCACGGAAGAAAATTGAAGAAAATCAAAGGCAAAGCCAAATTATCACTGGCGAGCGCCTCCCTTCGTGGGGCCTTAGCTTAATAACAAAGATATTTTCTTTAATATATACAACAGCAAACTATAGTCCGAGCCTTTCTCGTCGCCTTTTGATGGCTTTTAATGACATAGAAAAGCGAACACGTAAAAATTTTCTAGAAAAACAATACGCTGGGGCGCGTGTCAACGTTGAGCAAAAATCCAATGGAATCTCATTAAAGCGTTTTTTGATTGAGTCTCGCTAAACCTAAGTAACAATAATTACAACAGTCAATAAGACCAAATGAAAGCGTCACATTGAGCCAATCAGAACTCAAAATAAAAACAGGGAAACTGTCTAGCCTCGAGCGAGTGACCACAAATCACCATAAGATTTAAGTTTTGAACTGACAGTACTGTGTTTGGTTAGCAAGCGGCGCGGGTTTTCTGGACCAATCACGGAACAAAGTAAAGTAAAAACAATGCAAGACGAATTACTTTCGATACTCCTTTGAAAATTGCTTCACGCAGTGGTCTCAATGTAACTCAAATCTTTACAGAAAACTGATTAACATTCGAGTTATCTCGGCAATTGAAAAGACTGGAACCAAGAACAAAGTGTTCCTTTCAGTTAAACTTGATACCAATATTGTTGGGTGAAATGGAACATCTATACGGTGGAAAGAGTAAAGCAATATTGTAGTGTTAATTGTATCACGCGCTGAACTAAACTGGTGCATGTGCGTAATGTAAAAAAAGAGAACAATATTAAAAAGAAATATGAAGGAAAAAAGAGTGCTGTTCAATGTTGTTCGTTTTGATTTGCTACTCACAGACAAACCTGATTCGCTCGGTGGCCTGTAAGTGCCCCCCATAAATGAAAGAAAAAAGTGGATATTGGAACCTATTTCGGATCCAAACCTATAACAATCGATTCAAAGTTATTAGTAAAGATCCAAAGTTGTTATTGGGAACTCTGGATCCGTAATTCCTATTTTTTATCCGTGGTTACACCTTAATGGGTTTAACCGTAAGCTGTAAAAAAGAAAAGCACGAGAACTGAAAAATATGTAGTCGTAATAAAAGTTAGTTGTAAAAATGTGTCTTCTAATCGCAACGGACTCTAAATAACAATTAGCCGTAAATTGACCAAAACCGTATCTGTTAGCCATAAGAGTCATCACCTCTTTGAGATTCTCTTAAAGGCCTCCGTTTGTGTTTTTCGCGATAAAAGTCGATAGAAAATATAGAAAATGGCCTGAGAGAAAAAGACTTGAGCTAACGTGAAACTTGAGTTATTGTTGCCAGTTGTTCGAATAATTGGGAGCAGACTGAAGCCATCATTAGCCCTGAGACAATAGAATAGAATCATGTTTTTCATGGCCTCAAAGCACAAACATCTCCCTAGCTCCAAAAAAGTCTCAACATTAAATTAATTTATCATTACAATAATCTGATAAATGGAAATGAAACAATAAGAAACGGAAATTTATAAAGACGGAAAAGAGAATTTTAGACAAAAACATTAGTCAACAGCTGCCCAGCTTTTTCAGCTTTCTATTCCTATATCCTTTAGTTACTTCCGTTTTTTTTTGTCTTTGTAGCCTACGCATTAGTTTTAGAAACTCATGCTGATTGTTATTCCTAAATTTGGTACATAAACTACAGACACAAGGTGCTAAAATTCAGACAATCAACTTCCTCAGGGCCATTCAAAAGAAAAGCTGATTTCCTTGTTTTTCCTCTTTTGGCAGAAAAGTTAAAAAATGATGCGCTCAGTATGTATATATCATATATTCATATATTTATATATATTTATATGCATCGACAGAGATAAGTCACCTTAAATACAAATTTCATCTCGAGTGACGAGCTTTAACTGAAGGTTTGCAAGTAAACGACTGTAGTAGTCCAGATTGCCAACCAACTCGCCTGCATCCTGGAAAGAGTGTAGCCGTCGATAAGCTGATAGGCTCCATAACCGAGGTGCGGTGATCATTTGGAGCCATCTAGTTTCAGAACCACGTCAAATCTCATCTGATAATGAATAAGGGAGGAATATAAACATTTTAAACAAATACATGGGCGTCTTTTCTTGAGTTTATTTATTAAAGATTTTTAACCTTACTATCGATTTGTTACTGTCAAAGATCTCAAAATGTCACACTCTCTGTAAGGAAAACGAAATGACAAATTTTTGCATGAGTACCTTTCCTATTGACAACTGTATTCGAATAAACACCAAATCAGCGAGTCGATACCTTTTAATAATCGACGGATTGCCGTTTGTACCATGCGTTTTTGACCGAGTTTTTCCCCTTTCAATTCCTGGTTCAAGGCGTGAACAGCCTGGGCCATAAAACAAATCAAAATTCAATGTTAGTAACGAAAAAACGAGGCTTGTGAGATATTCATCCTATTCCTGCTGTGTGTCTCGTTGGTTCCAGAAACGATTTTCAAGTTGAAAGCCAATCCAAAGTCAATTCGAGTTCATTATTTGATCGACGGCATTGTTTGTGGCACTATTTAAACAAAACTTCCCACGTGCTTCATTTCTCGTCGAACGTACAGATATGAACCATTCGATTTTTGAGTAAAAAAAAATTAACTTTGCCACGCTTCAATGTCTTTACCTACACATCTCAAGATTGTGCACGAGGATAGCATACGACACGCTTACGCCCGGCACCGAATTTGGAAACACCAGTTTTCTAACCATATTGTAAACAATTTTCAGATAAATTCCCTTGTGAGCATCAGTCTGCATCAGTCTTTGACTACTCCTTTCTAAATTGAACACGTGGCACCCCCACCCCGATGATCGCTCACCATTGGCTTAAGCTTGTGCAATTGGAATTAACCATAGCAACCGTAGCCATGGGGACAGAGGGTGGGAGTTAATGTACACATTTTCTATGAAACATGCTTTTTTTTAGCCATCATCTGTATTTGTGGCTGGGTGGTGCTCTTTTTACCTTGGGGCAGCAGTTGAATTTGTGTGGCTTTCACTGGCCGGAAATTCTAAATTGGCTAACCTGCACTAACTCCTCCACTGAAGAGGACCCCCTTGTTGAGGAAGAGTGGTTTATGTTGAAGAAGGAAAAAAATTAAAGAGCCGCCGCGAAGCCGAATCATCACTAATTCATTACTGATCTCTAAAAAGAATGAACCAACCGTAAGAGAAAGACTCCTTTTCATCCCCAAAATCATAAAAAAGATTATTGTAATGGACGAATCCATGACATATCTTATGTCAGAATGCTGCTTGAACTGATTTCTGCGACTTTGCATGCGAAACTCACCTGTCGTGATGCGTGATTTGCTTGAAACCAACCATCCGTGAGAACTCGGTAATCCTACAGTGTATGTCCATTCAAACTTTTAGAATATGCTATTTATTCTCACAAGCATTGTCGTGATGTTTTAAAGTAGGTGTTAATCCACCAAGTCCCTGGCAAAGGAGAATCAAGTTCAGTGGCCCTGTTTGGTTCCGTTAAATGAGTCTAAATTTTCGCAGTTTTTAATAATTATTCACCTGACACTCAACTGTCGAGTGAAATAAGTGGATTTTAAATAGGTCCAAAAGTGGTTTGTGAATCGCCTGCAAGCCTAACAGCGACACTTCGAAGTCTGCCTACAGATTATCGACATCTTGTTGCAATTAAACCCAACGGATGTTTTTACTTTTAGCCGTGACTCATTTTGTGATCTCTTAACAGCTTTTAAAGGAAGCACTTAATAAATGAAACCTTTGAAGACAAATTTTCAGCGCCTCTAATTGCACCACACACTGTTAACCATTCAGCATGGGTGAGATTGTTTGCTTTTCAAAACTTAACAAGCCTGCGGAACATCAAAGTTCACTGCCGAAAACATATTACTTTTGGTATAGAGATTGATCTAATCTTGGTGAGAGGGCGATGATGTGGAAAAAGATTTAATCGTTGGACATTTGTATTCGTTATTGTATTTCAGAGAGACCTCGCAGGTTCTCCGAATGTGGCTTATTGCTCTTGATAGCTTCCTTATTTAGTCAATTAATTGGAATTATCAGATTGTTGCCTTTATAGTCCCTGGCAAAGACGCACTTTTTTGATGGTGCACAAACAACCTGAGAACTAAAAACTGTCCTTCCCGATTTCTTTCGTTGCCGTTTAACCGAATCTAAAACAACACTGCTCTACCCAGCGCTTAATTGGAATTGCCGTCTTTGTTGGACCGATGTTTTGTCATAACAAAGAAAGGGATCCTATAAACAGCCCAATTTAATTTGTCGCCAATGGCACTTAGATAATTTCACGCATACTTGCTTTTTCATAATTCGGCGATCATAAGGGAGAGATAATTCAATATTTGAAGTGTGTTTGCCATGAGCTACAATTATTTTGCCCATTTTTAATTAAAAAATCGTCGGCTTGTGTTAAGCTTTAATTATGAAATCTAACAAAACGAAAACGAGCTCACACACTAATCATTGAAGCTCAATTAACTTATCCCATGCGTGTTTAATAACTATCTGTAAATTTAACATGCTCTTGTAAATGTTCGTTAGTTTACTTTATCGTAGGATAAAGCGAATGTGAACAATATAAACTAAATCACATTCGGTGGAAAAGTTTAAAATGGCAGTTATACGGTTTCCTTGAATAGTTTACGACACCATTATTACAAAGGACCCTTTGATTACAAACTGTTCCTTATCTTTTATGCAACATGCGAACGCTTTACCTTTATCTACAGTTTTCGTGATTTACTGTTGAAAACACTTTTTGTTGTTTCAATTTGATTGTTGTTTGTAAAGATATTCCACTGAAAGAAGCTGGCACGTGATATATTCTCCTGGACCGAAATCGTCACCTGGAGAAACTGAAGTTAATACCAATTTAAAATGTATTATTGTCAAAGTTTTTGATGATCTGGCATTTCTACAGCAGGTACAGAACGTTATCATTTATCTTAAACACCAGATTTAAAACGAAATGCTAAGGAGAGTTTGTAAAATATCGACACGGCCTTGAATATTATTATTAGCTGTCCCTAAAGTGAAGCTGAGCTGAAATTTGAAAGCGGATAGCCCCTTGTTGACTGTTTCAATGAATTCGTGAATATAGGTGGATGGAAAACTGAAAGGAATGATGGCTGCATGCGGCTGGAATGCGTTGAACTACTTTCAAAGTGGCATTTCGGCCCGTGGCACGCCGGGTGTGAAGGGTACAGGTATCCCTGGGCAGCAATGGCGTAATCCATCTCAGCGGCAAGCTTCCGCTTCCATTTAGTACGGCGATTTTGAAACCATATTTTGATCTGTGTTTCTGAAAGTTCCAACAGCTTTGAAAGCTCCATTCTGCGCACAACGCTGAGGTACTTGCCTTTCTGGAACTCGCTCTCAAGGACTTTTATCTGATCAGTGGTGAAGGCAGTGCGTGGCCTCTTCTTTGTTTCTACACTAGGTTGCCCTTGGTTTTGACGTGCGCCTTCGAAGATAATATGAAATAAAAAGCATAAGTATCTGTAAACTTGCAGTAAGGTTCTTCACAATAATTAAAAGCTTCCTACCAACTCCCTTTCTTACTAAATGAAAAATTTGAATGTAAACCCCCTAGTATGCCCACTCAAACCTGTCTATTATATTCATTACTTCTCTATATTTGAATCGACAAGTTTTTTAGAAAAAGGGTTGTTGGAAATTCTTGCTAGAGACTACTGTTTAGATTCAGTGAGTCCTCTGTTAGACTCAATTAATATACGGTTCTCCGGTTAACATAATATTTGGAATAAACAAGATAACAGCTCATTCATTTGCGATTAAATTCAAGTAAACATTCTTTAAAGGGTTCAAAGTTGCTTTTATGTTTCGCTTGGGAGGGAACCATGACTTGATTCATCCTATTTGACACCATTAGGAAACTACACGTGGTGTCATTCTACGGATAGCGTCTCTCTGCGTGCTGTGCGCAACAAAATTGTTCTTTTTAAAAGAAATAAGTTTCCCACCGCTTTATTTTGGTAGCCATAGATAATGGTTCGGAAATTTGAAGTAGAATACTGACTTAAGTGGAAAACACAGTGAACACCGCTACGAATTTTTCGGTTATAATGAAGAAGACGAAGCGAATGGAGACCTCTTAATAAAGGATGATTATCAAACGTCATGGGTCCATGAAGATTCAAAAGCGTGAAGGTTCCTATAAAAGGTTCAATGTTTATAAATCAACAAAGGATGAAATACATAATTATTTATCTTCATGTTGTATCGTATCCTCAAAATTATTGATCTGAAGTAGTTGTTCCTCTTGATTCAGTTGGCCCTTACCTTCAAGGGAGAGCACTTTGTCATCTGATTTCTTCGTTGGCTTTGAAAGCTCCTTGTTGAATTTTGTTGGTGTCCTAGGGTCTTCTCTGGACAAAGACTCTTCAGATGAGAGATCATTAGTCGATGCGCTCGGGCTTTTGACGTTTAGAATGTCAGCAATGGAAAAGCTTCCACATTTAGCCAACCGAGAACTGGAGTCCTTCTCCATGTTTGTAACGATGGTCAAGGTATTTAAAACGAGATGATCACTCAGTGGTCTCTTAACAAGATGCTCCTTTCGCTCCGAATGTGGAATAGGGAGATATCATAACTTGTTTCCCTCTCTAATTGATAATAACGTTCAGTATGCTGCTCGTGCCAGACTTAGCCCACCGACCAATGACAAATCGCATGATTGTTTAAATATTGAAATAAAGAAAGGCGCAAAGAGGGTGTTTAATTCACGTATTGTTTGTTTGTTCCTCATTTAAGAACAGTGGAAAGCAACTGGGCCTTGGTGATGTCCCTCTCTCGGTAAACCGACTGATTATTTACAGCAATACATAAGGGATTCGAGTTTAAATTTGCGTTGAGTCAAACTCCAAGAAAGCCTCTTTGGAGAACGCTTGAACTCAAACAACCCGGTGTTATTTTAAACATCACCTTAGCATAAACTCCAATTAAAGAATAATGGTATTCGAATAAAGGAACTTTGCACTTAGTTCTAGATATAAATAAATCATTATTGAAAGACAAATTTTAAAGAACGAGACTTCCTTGGCCAGCATTTCGTCAAACCTCGCCCGAGGTAATTTTTCAATGCACAAAAGAACAGAAAATGCCAAAGGGTGCCCTGTCCACTTGCGCAATATAATTCCCAGCAGGGAGCCAGTTTTAAACAGAGATGGTTATTTTAGATCAGTTTATTAGACACCGGCATGTAATTAGTCTGTAGTTTGGCGAATAACACATGTCCAAGTGAAACTGCCTGGATGCTTAACGTTATTGGATCAGAAAGGGTTTATGCTTTCGTTAATCGGATGTTAATGACAAAGCGATTTTGTATTTTGCATTTGAGAAAAACGTGAAAGATGATCATTGGCGTTGTAGCACTCATCAGAAATTCCAGTTTTGAAGGGATCTCGGTTTCAATCATAAGGGAATGGTAAATTTTCCATTTTTTCTTTTTCTGCACCAGAGAACGTTTTTTCTCGCTGCTGCAAATTCTGCGAACCCATCAGCGATCTATCATGTAAAGAGAAGGGATCATTTCTAGATTGATGTTTAGAAATTTTTATGGATGTGTTAAACTAAATATTTACGTATAAATGTTTTTGATTTTCCGTGAGTAAGACATCCGTATGGTGTGCAATTTTAACCTTGTGAAACAGTTCAGAGATGAAAATATTGGATTTGATCAAAACGTACATCATTTCGCTTTGATAGTACTAAAACTGAGGGTTGAAGCACTTGTGGACATCGGAAATAATATCATAATATTTTCGTATTTCCACTGAGATCCGTCACCACACTGTCACTCTAGTCTAGCGGTTGATCAGTTGCGCTTCTGAAACAGCTCTGAAATCATGGACTAAAGGGAAACATCATTCGTGTTGTGCAAAGTAGTGTCTGAGGCAAGGTAAGGTCCCCTGAAAAGGAACTTAAGACAGACCTCTTTTGTGCTCTGTCATACACCTGCCCTTTTCCATAAAGGTCCTTTTGGTTGAATGAAACCATAACAAAGAGGCAGCAGGGAACGTGGGCTGACAATACATTACATTCTTTACCCGACTTAGATGACTTCGGCTCCAAAAATGGTATTGGCTGACAAAAATAATTCTTTATTCCGGGTGATGTTCAGCTCTTTCCGACACCGAAAAAAAATAAAATAAATAAAACGGAGCCTGTTGATATCTTTTTTCTGACATTCTTTTTGTAATGGAAAAGAACTTCACTCTGCTAGTTTCGTACAGTTAATCGACCGTTTCATTAGCGATTCATCTTTGCCTGTTTTGACTCATCGACCGATTAACGGCTCAACCACAGAGAGATCATACTGTTAGGCAAGTATTGAGAATGAATAGTGACCGTCAGACGCAAGATAAGCAGCCGTTATGGTACACAGCATGAAGACTCTCTCTTGCTCAGCAGCCGACGAAATGGCACTATAGAGCAAACGTGCTCATATTCACTGCTTCTCGTTACCGTCAGCTTGAAGACCCATAAATCATAGGAAAATACCACGACAACCAGGTGTTAAGATGGCAGTTGATAATTGGGAAAAGTTTCATTATTTACCCATCACTAACATCAGTCGGCTGCCATGGCAAGAACAATTTCAGGAAGCGTGCGCGTCATGCACGCGTTCTTAAGCCAATGAAAAGCTATCAAAACTGGAAACAAATGAACGAAGTCGGCTGTTTAATTTAAGAATTGGGGGCCAAGAGCCTTTCAAATTCACCACTGCTTTGAATATGACGTGAGGTATAGCAAGAAACGATCGGTGGATAGACAAAGCCAGAGATCAACTTCGGGTGTCTAGAGATCAAATCAAATCTCGGAATACTATTATTTTACTTTTTCATTTTTTTTTCTCATTCTTACTATATTTAAATTTTATTTATTCTTGTTTTAGCTGTTTATATATCTATTTATTTTTATCAATCTACCTGTCTATTTGGCTAACTATTGTTCTTTCTATTCAGATATATCTTTCTTTGAAGATTTCGCGCAATACAATAAAAATCTGACTCGTGGAGCTCCACTGTACCTTTCATGACCAACAAAGTTTACATGGTATTGTCGGGTTTCGTTGGTAACCATGTAAGTCCTTTCCGGTTTGAAAAACGATGAAACTGATAACAAATTGATATGATAGTCTCAAAGCGATTTTTCAAAAAAATAATCCTATGAATCAAAATAACTAAGATTCTCGTGCACTCGCCGTTTCGTTATTGAAAATTTCTGCTCAAAATATAGAAGTCTTATTTGTGAAGAGTGTAACATTTTTAACTTCATTGTCCTACTCTGGTCGAAGTTTGTCGTTCCAAAACCTGTGTCTACTCAGGGCCAATCTAATTCTCAGGTTGAGACAAAGGAGGTTTACATCAATACAAAAATTATTTTGAAAACCAGCGCAAAATAAATATATAACTACATTTCTCATTCCTCGTTTGTTAATATTCGATGCTTTTCCTTTTCATAGACAGATCTAAGTCGTCTTAGTTACGTTCGCGTGCGTTAGATTATCTACTTCTCACAAACGATGGCGCCTTTTTGATCAGGTATCATTCATTACGGTGCTATGAAAAACAAACTCCTGCGCCTCTTTAATGAAAACACAGAATATTCCTCGTGACGATGTTAGAAATAGAAAACTATGAGGCATTTTCGAAAAAAGAACAACACGAAATAAGGAAAGTAATGATTTAAAAACAAAATGGATTGCCGTTTATCGAGCATTGGTGAGGCTAAAAATGGCTTGACTTAGTGGCAATTATAGAGGGTTCTAGTGGGGGATGACTTTAACGGCTAACGCTTACTTTCTTTTTGTTACAGTTAACAGAAATTTTAAAAATTTAGTTCAATCGTTTTGAAAAGTTAAAGATTAATTTTCCGTGCTCTAAAAGACAGTCACTCGGTCGCTTTTACCATAAGAGTGAAATATCGAGGGTGACTCCAGACTGAGCTGCTTTTTAGCTGATATGGAGTAATTGTCTGTTTTCCCGCATCAGCCACAATACAAGACATATAACAGTCTAAGATTTTGGCACGTTCAAAATTATAGATCGTAGATAAGAAATTTTTTTTGCGGTTAACAGTTTTTTTTTCGACTAAAGGTTAATTTTGTCTGCTCTAACGCCTAATCGTTGAGCATTTTTGCCATTTTACAGCTGACGGCAAACCCCATTGAGAACCTCTTTGTACTAGGCCTCCCAACTAATGCATGAAACACACCAAAATCCACCTGTAGATGATAAGGAGAAAATTAAACTTTTCAATGCCAACTGTAATTTAAGAAATTACAGAAATCAAATCTCGAAAAAAAAACTATGAATTTTTCAAGGCTCAAACTTTTGCCTCTTTGATGTGCAAGAGCGTCACCACCAATACAATGCTACACAATTGCAACACCATGTGCTGCAAGTGGTGATGGGGCAAATCTTAGCAAGTTTGCTCTTTGTTCCTCGTATTAAACCTGATCAAACAACTTTTTCCATATGACTTTGAAGGAAGCCGAATGTCAATAAGAGGAACGAAAGCCAATCCGAAATCCATAAATAAAAATTTAAGTACCAAGTGCCTATCTCGAGCGAGGGACAAACAAACTTTGTTGAATATAATTCACATTATGAAAATGAGGTTTTTTTTCGTTGAAATTCTGTGGGGTGGTATCTATTTTAAGTTGAGTTTGTTCATCTGTACAATATGGAAAAGTTCCCTCCTTCGGAATCAAACAATTAAGAGTTCCACATAGCTAAAAGTGTCCCAAATTTTTTTTAAGCATATCTGTCTTTCTCAGGAAAGAAGGAAAATAATGGATGGATTCTTTAAAACTTGTTTACGAGGGCGTATTTCCTCGTTTATATGTACCTTATCACGGGTACTTAATTTCCGCGATTTTAATGAGCAAATAGAAACAGGGGCATAAAATTTCTTGATTCAAGCGTTCCCAACTTCATTTCAGTTTTCAAGAATGAAAGAACTTTTAAAAATTTCTAGATAGAATGGATGTTTGGAAATTAACTTAAAAGTGTATTAATTACAACTTTGAGACGCATCGTCTCAATGCGTACTTCGCGGCTTTGCTTCTAAACATCATCTGATCATTACAAATCTTCGGATGGATCTTCAGGTGTCAGTTTTTTTTTGAGCCATCAATTACTACACTGAGCCCGCCGTCTTCCATCCTTTGGTAATCGATCTCCTGCCCTCAGAGGATGAACTTTTTTTAATAGGCTACTAAATTGCGTTTGTTTAAATTTGGCGAGGATTTTCATTCACGTGTCTTCAATTTTGCGACTCTTTCACCCGCGAATTAAGTAGCAATAAGGAAATCGGCTGTCGCTAACAAGTTCGGTGCCCGCCATAAAGCGTTTAGCCTGTATTTTCTTCTTTATGTTTCATGTCTCAGTCGCATAATGTATACAACACCGTACATTTTTCAAAATTATAATAATGCTATCTATGTAATTTCAATAAGAATGACATGCATTAATATCTTTGAAATTTTTAACTTAAACTTACGCTTAACGAGAAAATGAACGATACCTTGACGAAATCGCGAGTCAACGTCGTATTTCTTGTAAACCTGCAAATCTCGTGTTAGCAATATTACTAGAAATGCTTCACCCGAACTCTAAATAAGGTCTTAGTGAGAAGAATAAAGTGGATGGAAGAAACTTAACAATGAAATAAAATAATTGTTGACTGTTTAATGAGGGTCCCAATGGGGCGATGGCTTTTACGGCTAAGGATGAAAATTTTGGTCATTTTATGGCTAACAGTTAGTTTGTTTCCATAACTTTTACAAGAAATTTTTTACGTTTAACTTTTTTTACGACTTAAGTTCAAAATTTATCCATTTTTTACGCCTACCAATTTTTTTGCCATTGTACGGCTGAAGGTTAACCCCGTTGAGGCCATCTTTTATCGCTACAATATTCTAAGGGAATCCGTATGAAATATTATTGTTTTTTAAGGAATGTAACATCGTAGAAGTACTGTTGCCAGGAAATCATGACAAAATGAAAGATAAAAGTAGGTGAATAAAAATTATTATCACAGGAAGTTACCGAGTAAAGAAAGTTGGGAAAGCTTTAGTTTCAGGTACTTTTTCGTCTAATAAAATGCATTCATCGCAAAAAAAAGAGAAGAAAAGAAAAAGGGTTATGATGGTTCAAATTTATCAGTGTCTTAAGCCTCAAACATCATTTTATAAGCAAATAAATGAAAGACTATTACATACATTTGAATAAAGCTCGCCACGTGCGTTCACATTTGCTTGGAATATTTGCTCCGTAGGCTAACAAATATCGGCATGCCGGTAACAAAAACATTTCAATACACTGCACGAGTGCTGGTTAAATATTTTAAGTTTATATTTAAAAAAAGTGGATAGGCGCGCTTTGATTGGCTACTCAAACTCTGAATATGCTTTGCTGTTCACCCCTGAGCAACTCGTTCGGCATTTGCGTCCGATAATATTGAAGTCTTTGCAGTAAGCCGAAGTCAGCTTTTTGTGCTATATTATTTCATTGCTTTAGTTTATACTTAAAAAACCATTCACCAAAGTGTTGGTGGCAAGTGACGGATATTTACCTCACCGCTTCGCAGCTTGGTAAATATCCACCACCAGCCACCTCCACTCTGGTAAATAGTTGTGAAATGATAAATTGTGAAGTGAGTATCGTGTATACTGGATTTTACGCCGCTTCATGAACTCTGTTCTTTCGAGAAAGAGGATATTGTTATTTCAAATAAAGGAAGAATAAAGATCGCATGGACCGCTGTCTGAAAATTGTAACTCGAGTACTTTTTTTTGTTGAACGTCGCCACCGATCGAGGATAAACTAAACTATTTTAAGACTAAATTCAACATAAGCTTTCTTTATACATAAGTGTTGCTCTTCTACACTGAATTTCTGCCTGCTTGCGAAAATCGCATCTGATCAAAGAACACTCATCCACAAAGTCTCAAGCGCTAAGCAAACAAGTATAGCCAGCAATTTCTACAATTTACACAGATTCCCCAGATGTCTACATTCATGCATAGCAGATGAAAGAGTACCGAACTTACAAGTAATAACAGTTTTAGCTTACTTGTTACCGCTCAACTTGACAGTGAATATGGTCTAGTAAACTTTCAATCTTTAGCTTTGATTGCCTTGTTTGTCCAGGAAAACGTTTATTAAACAGTGATTAGTATTTAAGGGCTTAGGGAAATTACACTTGCACTCACAAATTAGAATCTGAATTCCTCTTCTCTCAAGATGAAGTCTTTCGTGGTTCTCTGTGTTTTTGGCGTGGCTGCTTTGGCAAGTTTTGCAACTGGTAATTCTTAGTATTTTAAATTCCTGTGAATAGTAGAATGCAATTCTTTAAGACAGTTCAGCACTTGATTTACTTTCATTCATATGAGCTTTCATCATAACACACGGTTTTTATGTGTATGGTTGGAAAAAAATTGGTATTGTGAGACTCGAGCAAGGCAGTTCGGTTTTCCTGCCCCTAAATGGAGAGAAACTCAATTTTATTTTTTTCCAAACTCATCCTATTTTCGTTTCGACATGTTTCAGGTTGTTCAGACCTTAAGTCAGGTTGTAGTTACTGGGCTGGCAAAGGATACTGCAAAGGGAAATATGCAGGCTATATGTCCAAGAACTGCCAGAAGAGCTGTAATCTTTGCAGCGGATCAGGACCAGGACAGTGCGGATACAAACCCAGTGTACGAATTGTAGGTGGTACCGAGGCTCCTCACGGAGCTTGGTCGTGGCAGGCTCAAATCATGACAACCTATGGCTTCCCATTCTGTGGAGGAACCTTAGTTCATCCACAGTGGGTTGTCACTGCTGCTCACTGTGTTCCGGGAAAATCACCGAGTGACATTCGCGTTAGGTGAGTTTTTATAATACACGCATATCTGAGTTTTCAGTTTTTTTGTTGGGCTAAATATTTGACTTTTGCTGAATCACAGCCGTGGACGACGATCAATTTGCGTGAAGCGACGATTTCAAAGGGTTTATACCCAACTGTCAATCGTGTTCGCGAGAGGGTAACGTAAAAAGACTCCTTTCAGTGACATAACCTGACATTTCGACATCTTTTGAGGAGAAATTAGAATTTTAAAACTTATTAACTACACCATCATCTTCTGCTTATTAGTATCCTATAATAGGCCTTTACGTTGATGTCATTTAAACCACTACGAGTTAAAATTACTTTTCAAGAAGCATTTGTAAAAAGATTCAGATATGAAGTGAATGAAAAGAAAGGTGCAACTATTCCTTGTCAAATAAAGGAAGTTATTTTTTCTCTATCTTCAGACTTGGAGCTCATAAGCGCAAGCAAAGCGTAGGAACAGAACAGTTAATGGAGATTGAAAAGATCATCTCACATCAGAGCTATAGAAGACCTTATGGCATGGCTCATGATATCGCCATGATAAAACTGGCCAAACCTGCTCGGATCGGCAAGTATGTCAACTTGGCCTGCATGCCTGGATCAAGTGGAAGTGTTGCAGATGGCAAGGAATGCTGGGTTACAGGTTAGGGCAACCAAATATAATAACTGTTATTTGATTGGAAATTGTAGGAGGGGTAGATTGGGGCCTGATGGAAACAGAAAAACCGGCAAAATTTCAATCGCAGTCGAAATCTAAAGCAGGAAAAGAAACCGTTTGGAGCCAGAAGCGTGTGGAAGAGTGATTTAGACTGAGCTGAAAGGCCTAAAAATAAAGAAGCGGGAAATCTTCCTTCTACAGTTGTGAAATTGGAAGCAAATATAAAAAACCACATCAACGAAAAAAAACAAAACAACAACAACGAAAAAAACATTAGAAGAAACAGAAAATGAAGAAAACCAAACCCCTTGAGTACCAAAAAGCATAAAAGCAGTCTCAAAATAGCCTATATTTGAAAACCTACACTGAGTGGCTTTACAACGAGTCAAAAGAATTTCTTAGCCAGTCTTTTAGGGGTGTTTTGTGATTCCAAGTTGGCAACTATACCCCGTGATAACTGTGTATTGATTTCGTGGCTTCGTGGTAATGTGGCCGTGCATTAAATTTTACAGTCAGTGGATGTTTGAACCTTACAACCTAACATTAGTATGCAAGTGCTCCATACTGTTCTTCATACATCAGTTTCCCATGGTACTGTCAAAAACAATATATCCAACAATCAAGAGATTCTTAAATTGGCGATCATCTCCTTTATTGTCATGACCTTAAATAACGTTTGATTCAGGGGCGATGCTGTAAGAAGAAACTAGATGCTTGACGTCACTGTTAGGGCTTGAAGGGATAACTCTCGTAGATAATTCAGTTGATGCAGATACCTCTATTTGTGCTTTGATAGGATTTGGAAGACTGTCGTCAGGCGGTAGTTCTCCAGACGTCCTCCAACAAGTTAAAGTCCCAATCGTGTCTGACTCTAGATGCAGACGAGCGTACGGCTCATCAATTCACGACTCCATGATCTGTGCTGGACTGGACCAAGGAGGCAAGGACTCTTGCCAGGGAGATTCTGGAGGGCCTATGGTATGTGAAGCTGGCGGAAAGTTCTTCCTAGAGGGTGTCGTGTCGTGGGGTATCGGATGCGCCGCTCCAGGAAAATATGGTGTCTACGCCCGAGTCCGCTACTTGAGGAAATGGATTGATGAAACAATGAATGCATATTAAAAAGGGAAATAAATTAAATGATTATGAATGAAATAACTTGCTTGTGTTCCTTTTTTTAACCAGTGTTGCATCAAGACAGGGCAAACTTTGAAGTATATCTTTCTTGTCTTACTTCCGAACAGTTCAGTCGAGACGTGTTACTTGAAACCAAAAACATGGACAACCCCCAAAATTATTCCAGTAATTTACCTTTATTAAATACGCAAAAAAAAAATCGTTTCGATAGTCTTTGGGTGCTGTCTTTCGATAGGACTTTAAACAATTTACATGTTTACGTGAGACCTGTCACTATTGCTTGTTCTATTTTGTAAGTTGAGACGTGAAAGGATTCACTGAATCATCATAAGATTAGACACTTATACTCAAGAATGCGATAACCAATTTTGTTTCTCGGTTTGACCACAGAACATTTTCGGTATCGATCTGTCTACCTCAACGCATTTCAAACGTGCAAAGTGACTCAAGAAAAAATGTTTCAGGCCGAACGTATGGGTGAAGTAAAACAATTTTTCTTGGAATCACAAAAAAAATTAATATGACATCATGACATTTTCAATGAATAACTTTCGATTGGAAGGAAGTTTGATCTTTCGGCAGGGTAATTCCCCCAAGCAGTTTCGAATGTTATTATGCATACTTTTTGCTCATATTTACTGTTCTCTCGCTAAAACTCTCTGCGAGGTTATCAAACACAATTAGTCAAGTTTGATTTGTAAGAGAAATTTTCAAATTCCCTTACTTTACTCCGTATCCTGGCATTGCTGCGTGGTGCGTTGTTGGCATTAATTTCCCTTGTTTTTAAAGAGGAATTCATTATCGATGGTTGAGAGAAGTCGAATTAAGATTTGGTAACCAAGCAGAAATATGTACAGAGCGGAGACCAGAGGTAACGTTTAGATATATGTATATGTGGGATATATGTATCGTAGCCATGAAATACGGACAGTATCTCTTGAAATTCCCCTGTTTGCATGGATTCTGTTCACAATTATGAAGAAAATTTTAAATCCTCGAGAAATATTTGCGCTATCTATATCTTCGGCTTTTTTTCTTTTTCTGTGCCATTTCCTTGGTTGTCATGAGTGCAAATAAATATTTTGGTAGGTGGCGGGGGTTTTGAACCAGCTTCCCACTTCAATTGTCTCCATGCTTTATCATTACCGCACAGCTTATCACAATATTTTCAGGCCACTCTTTAAAAATGAAAACAGTGTAGCGTTTTTGCCTAGTCATGCGTGTTTTTTGATGGCCTAAAGAGCAACATAAAATCGAACTATTAACCTGTGTGTGGTGACAAATGAACTGCTTTCTGTAACTCGAACCATTTTTGATAACTCGAATTCTGAAAGAAAACAATTCTGTCTTTGGAAAATGATTTGTTTACTCAGATCGCCTACAAGTTCTTTTACCTTTTCGCCAAAGAACAAAAGAATCAATTGCGTGTCCTCTCGAAATTCATCTTTTAGATGAATTTCAAAGCTACTCAAGTACATTTTTTCTGATTCTAACCGGTGTGCTTGTTCAGGCCATGTCCTACATAAAATGAAATTAAAAATAAAGAAAACTGATGATGTTCTTAGTCCACAAGCCATTTTTGGATTGTTGTGAAAGCAGTCTATCATGAAAACTTTATTGGTTCTCTGTGTTTTAGGCATCGCAGTCTTGGAAAGTTTCGTACACGGTAAGATATATTTTTGAAAATCTATCATTTTATCAATAATGAACACAATCTCCGTGTCCTGAAAAGATTCTTTAAACTTATTGTGTTTATTATTTCTGAAGATTGCAAACTCGTGTGCAGTATCTATTGTGGTCTTTCCTTTACCCAGTTTATGTACGCCGAATTCCAAGTTATTTATTCTTTTAATTCTATTACTGTTTCTAGGTTGTAACGACAAAAGACGATACTGTACCGTCATGGCAAAAATGGGATACTGCAATAAGAAAAGTGTCTCAAAACATCTGAGAAGGAACTGCAAGAAAAGCTGTAGTTTGTGCGGCGGTGGAAGCGGTGGAGCAGGACAGTGTGGATTCAAGCCCGGTGCGCGAATTGTCGGTGGCACCGAGGCCCCTGAAAGAGCTTGGCCGTGGCAGGCCCAAATCCTATGGTCAACTTCTGGTAATCAATTTTGTGGAGGAACTTTGGTCCATCCCCAGTGGGTTGTTACAGCTGCACACTGCGTTGACAAGGAAATTGCCTCAAATATCCGTGTAAGGTGAGCTGATGAATAGTAACACTCCTCGTCTCCTCGTGGATGGTGACCTGTTGCAAACTGAAGGGAGCAAGAGTCTTGTTTTCATTGCTAGCGTGGAATAATGTAGCCATATACCTCGTCAAGGGAAACATTTTCGTTCTGTAGACGCATTTTTTTAAACTGCTGCTTAAAAGAATAACGGAAGATGCCAAATTCCTTGTAGAGGGAACTAAAACGAGATATACCAAATTTGTTCATGCTAGTTATTTTCATCGATCACGGGCAGACAACGTCCCCGAACAGAATAACGTGTGTGTCTTGAGCAGCCACTTAAGGGATTAGCCTCGATGTGGGTGCTTCTGCAATCCATTGTTTTGCTTTTTTTTTCAGTAAATTTGTTGACATTGATAAATCACCACATAATTCCAGTCAAGGGCTAGAAATTACCAAGAAGTTTTTTAATCAAAACCCTCTCAATTATTGAAATTATATAAAACTATAACCTTTGTAAGAAAGCCACAAATTCATTAAGTTATGATCATAAGAAGCCTTTTTTTGACACCATTTTTTCAAGGAAACATAAGTAAGTGTTGTAGAATCGAGTGATTAAAGAATAGGGTATTTGAAATAATGAATCCGTTTTGCACTAATTTAATGATGATCGGGTACAGGGATGTTACCCCATCAGTCTCTGAGAGACCTCATCTCGCAAGTAGAGTGGGTAGCCTAGAACTGAACACATAGCACCTAAGTAAGGGCATGGCTGGAATAAACTCTTTTCATGGTTAACCCTATGCATTGTAAAACAAATAGTCATCATCAAGTTACAATAATCTTGATTCATGATTGTACCTCATTTGGCAGACTTGGAGCCCATTACCGAAATCGCAGATTAAAAACGGAACAGGAGTTCCAGATCAAAAAAGTGATTTATCACAACAGCTACGGGAAACCGAAAGGTTTTGCTCATGATATCGCCTTGTTGAAACTGATCAGGCCTGCTAAAATTAGCCAAGCCGTCAAACTGGCTTGCCTGCCTGGTTCAAAGGGTCGAGTTCGAGATGGGAAGATGTGTTGGGTTACAGGTAATTAAACGTTCGCTTGGAGTTTTATATTTAGACGGAGGTCTATATTAAGCCTGAGCTTCAACCGTAGTGCAGTCGAACCTTTATTAATCAGCACCGCATTAAGTGGTCACCTTGTATTAAGCGGTCAGTTTTCACAGTCCCGAAATTTTTCCCCATAATCACTGTAACTTCCACCTGTATTAAGCGGTCACCTCTATTGAGCGGTCATGGACACCCTTTACTGAGTCCCAACAGCCTTTTTCTATGGTCCTCCACCTGTATTCAAGAATCACCCAAAGAAAAATCTCAGAGCGTGATAACTAAGTGAAGCTTTCAAGAAAAATTGAAGCCGTGTTTATCTTCCCAAATCAATGTTAACGGTATTTTTGAGCACTCTTTTGTACAATAAGTGGTCAATTATGGCAAAAAATGTCTTTTCATTTTTTTTCTAATAACAATTTTCTGTGAAACCTGTATTAAGCGGTCAATTAGGAGCCGCTAAATACAAGTTTGACTTTATAGAGCTGTATAAGAGTAAAGAGCATTGCGATGTTACGTGAAAAAGTAAACTGTTCAGGTCTCCTTTAGTGCACCCTATAGAAGAGAGAAAAATATTCAAATATTCTTAGTTGAAGGCTACATGAGTTAGCTGGTTTTTTCGTTATCTTTCTAGATTACACTGTCTGAATGGAGAGGGAGACCTACGAGGGGTTACCACAACCACTTTGCTTTACCCAAAGCATATACCATATATTCTCTGTTCTAAACTTATTTTTTTAGAGAACTGGACAGGGCAACCATTCCTTTAACCTCTCAGCCCAAAGCCTTTAGCTGCTGCCAACATTTTTTCAGCATTTATTTCATTGTTTTTTGTCATCTTGCCAATGTTGTAAAATGTTGTAAAACAAAGTAACTTTATTTTCTTTTGCGTTTCACATTTAAGGCTTTGGACATTTGTCGTATGAAGGTTCTCCATCGAGTGTTCTAATGCAGGTCTCAGTTCCAATTGTCAGTGACAGAGAATGCAAAAAGGCTTACGGAGAACGCATCCACAAGTCAATGGTATGTGCTGGACTTCCACAAGGTGGAAAAGACGCGTGTCAGGGAGATTCGGGAGGTCCAATGGTGTGTGAGTACGGTGGAAAGTTCTTCCTCGAGGGTATTACTTCGTGGGGAGTTGAGTGCGCAGCTCCTGGGAAATATGGTGTTTACGCCAAGGTCCGATACCTGAGGCCGTGGATCGATCGTGTTATGCGAAAAAATTAAGACTCAGGTTATTAGTGACACAATGAAAGAAATAAAAGAAAACGAAAACAAATTTTGCTGTTTGTTGATTAGTAGAATTGCTAAGAAACGAAAAAAGAGTGAAGAATTAGAAAACGAAACGAATATCGAGAATTTTTACGGTGAACGCAAATGCGAATTGATAGACTGACTGACAACAATCATATCGGTGCAACCAGGTTGCTGTCTCATAAAATAGAATGAGAATTCTAGTGTTTGACTCCATAGCTCACGAGCGAGATGTCGAGATGAACACGAGAAGAGAAATTCCATATCTACAAGCAACCATGTATTATTTTGTTTATCATATAAACACAATAGCACTTTACTGGGAGGAAAAGCCGACTTCATTGATTAATAAAATAAATGAATCGACAATCCTCGAATAACAATCGTAAAGTGCGTTGGCGCTGACTCTTAAGATGGAAAAATGCGTTAAATCATGATTACAAAAACAACAATGGTCATAGTTTCGATTTCCAAAATTCTCATTTATTGGCTTTATCCTTACAGACAGAAGAAGTCTTTCAGGTAAACGGCCAAAATCGGCTAGTGGCAAATCTTCCGGTTGTCGATTTTCATTCTCAGCCGAGAGAAATGCTAACGCCAAAGCCACTGAATACGCAACTTTGGGTTTTTCTTTTAGTATATTAGTTTTCTTCCTCTTCTAGGAAAGTTTGAACCTCACTGTCTGTCAGCGATACGGATTTTTTAGTGTTTTAGCCGCCATAATTCGAGAAAGCTCGGACAAACAACTTGTAATGAGAATCGTGAAGGCTTTGCCGTTCATTCATCAACCTGACCGAGTGGTGCCAAAGGCGAGTGACGTGTAAGCAGCTATTTGGGTATATCAACACACGTGAAAAAATACGATATTTTTTCACGTGTGTTGTTACGGCTTTTCTCAGGGCCGGAAATCCTTGTATAACACCGCAGTTTATGTGATAATTTGATTTTATCAACTGAGTTGATAATGTAGATTGGCCACCGTAAACATTTCTTAAGCCGACGTTTCGTGCGTTAGCCTCACGAAGGGCCAGCACTCGAAACGTCAGCTTTAGAAAATGTTTACGGTGGCCAATCAACATTACAATCAGTTGATAAAATCTAAGTATCATGTGTACCATGGCAAAAAATAGTCTTAAAGGCATGAGGTGTAATTGCGTTGGCATCCGTAAAATGTTACTTAAATATCACAAAAGACAGCTTTTAGAAGCTTTTGGATGGAAAATAATTTCTTCAGAAGACTGGGGTATTCGTGGACGTAGTCTAATAGAAGCAGGGAACAGAGGGGAAGAGAAAGCGAAAGGAAATTGAAGAGATCTGGAATGGCGGGTGTTGATTCCCTTCCCCGCCCTTTTGAGTACAAGCTTGAATGAATCATGTTGAAAAAATTCGTTAAAACATCCAATATTTGCGTTTCGGCACCCGCAGTCTTCTTATCAGTCTCGAAAATTACGAGAATGTCAAAGTTCTGAAACATTAAATTGTTCATGGAACATTGCTTGAGGTTGGTCAGAGATCGAGACAAATCACCAAAAGCAAAATTTATCCAGCCTTTGCGACCAATGTTGTTGTCCTTCTCAGCAGGCTAGTTCTTTATCGAATATAGTGTGTTTCAATCACTGAAGCAGTTTTGTTCACTTAAAATCGTCATAGGCGGAGTTTCACCTTTATTCCTTTAGGGAAAAATTGATGTGAATGGCCTTAGCTTTGAAATAATTTACCCAGACTGTCCAGATGTCTACATACATGTATTCAAGATACACGAATTCAAGAAGAAACGTCTATCCATTTACCTGAACGTTACATGAAATCTGACTTACCTGTGTTGTTTCAGGCGTGAATGGTTCAAAATTAAAATAAAATAACCCAGAGTCCTTTTTGTTTATCTCAAAACTATTCTTTTTTCTACCTAAGACGAGGAGAAGCTTTTGACCGCACTTCACTCCAGGTAGATTTTAAATGGCGTCTTCTACATGTATGCCAGTGATATAAATTGGTAGCATTTTCGTAAATGGCATTTTTCTTCCTGAGATAAGCCTATTTAACTGTACACCATAAATACCATATATTTACCTTATGAAATCTTCATGAATGCTGCTGTTTACCCAGACCCCAAAAGAAATCTTCCCATGACGCCTTTGACTGACATACCAATGCGCAGACGTTTCCAATTTGTTCAGGCTGTCGTTCAGCTTACGATAATCGAGATAAAAGAAATGGAGCTAAGCATATCTTCACTTGCTATTTTGAAGCGAGTTTGATCTCAATCATGAAGTTCACGATGAAGTTCCATGTCTTGGCCATTGCTGTCTTTGCCATTCCTGCAATATTTGCTGAGGGTAAATGACTTACTATTTGATATTCTTTCCATTCCTTTCATGTAGCGGTAGATAGTATAACTACCTTCCACAGTAGTGGTCGGAGATCGTATCCCACACCTCTGGTGTCGCACGTGGGTTGAGCTTTTATCAGTTCTCGTCCATGCTCGTCTGGTGGTTTTACTCTTTATACAAAATCACTGAGTTTCTAAAAGCTATTTAGGACGGAAATTATTTACGAAGGAATATACAGAAGTTAGATTATTATTGCAATTTATCTGTTTGTTATCTATGATAATTTAGACATTCTTGCCGAGAAATATTTTGTGTATCGCAATGCTGTTGATTTGAGATCACTTCTGGAGCGATTGTTGCTTATATGTCTTTCAGTTTGTGAGGACAGAACAGTAAACTGTGCTGATTACGAAAGTTATTGCAAAGTAACCAATTGGGTAGATTACATGCAAAGAAACTGCAAGAAAACCTGCGGCTATTGTAACGGCGGAGGAAACGGCGGCGGAGGCGGTGACGGTGGAAATGGTGGTGGCGGAGGAGGAGGCGGTGGTGGTAACGGTGGAAACGGTGAGTGTGGATATAAACCAAGCGCTCGAATTGTTGGTGGCAGTGAAGCACCCAAAGGAGCTTGGCCGTGGCAGGCCCAGGTCAGATCAAGATCCGGTTTTACATTTTGTGGTGGAACTTTGGTTAGCCCTCAATGGGTTGTTACAGCAGCTCATTGCACGTCGGGTAAATCTTCCTCAAGCATTCGTGTAAGGTAAAATCAACATAATTTAAATAAGCTGTGAAAACTTCTTGATAATCTTCTCTTGTTTCAATGGGGCAGCACCGAAATCATTACGCCCTTCAAGAAACTAAAATTAATAGCTATGTAAAGCTGAAAACGTCCGTTAGTTGTTTTTAATGTTATTTCAAAAGAAGGTCCATCTTCTATCTTTTTCTGAAGAAAGGGTTATACCTAAATAACACGGAAAAGATGTTTTCCGATGAAGTCAGCTTTAAACTTTGCTGGAGATGAAACAGTACTGATTTTAAATTGCTGACGGGTTAAGAAATTTGATGAAAGCAATGACATAATCATTGGGAACTTTTCGTTTGGCAGACTTGGGGCACATTACCGCAAAGGTAACGAAGGCTATGAACAGGATTTTGAAGTGGAACGAATCATTAATCACCATAGCTACAAAAGACCTTACGGCATGGCCCACGACATTTCTTTGTTAAAACTGCGCAGGCCTGCTCAGATAAACAGACATGTAAAATTGGCCTGTTTACCAGACTCAAGTGGAGGAGACTTGGATGGGAAGATGTGTTGGGTTACAGGTAATAAATACGAATGACAATGGCAATAAAAAAAATCTTCACAGCAAATTCAAACCATCACCCAAGTTTAGTAGCAACGTCAAGGACCTTGTAAAATTCACTTGACCATAGGTTGGGGCTGTTTTTTTTTATGGTGGAAAATGTAAGAATGAAAATAGTAATACAAAGAAAACAGACGTCTTTAAGGTTAGGAGTTTAGCTCTTGCAAGGAATAAGCTTTATTTTTTAATTTTTTTTATTCGTTTGCTGTGCGATGTGTTTGTGTTGAAAGAAAGTATTTATGACAGTTGGTCAGTTAATTAGTTTCCCTTTCCGGTGTAAAGTTCTTTTTTGTTTTGTATTTCATCTTCTTTAATAATCACAGGCAGCCTTCACTTACATCAATCAAACATAGCCCAACTCAAATATATAATGATAATAGCTGGAAGGTAACGTTTAATGGATTGATGTGTGAAGTCGAATCGAAGCGACACAAGGTAAAATTGACAGCTTTGTGAGGCTAGGCTATAGTTGTTGCTTTTCACTTCATTTAGTGGAGCAACTATGACTGTTGTTTTCGACACCCAAATCTAACGTTATCCTTGATCTTTTTTTCCATCCCATAGGATTCGGTACTCTGTCCTCAGGCGGCTCTTTGGCTCAAATGCTCATGCAAGTTGACGTACCAATTGTCCCACAGTCCCAGTGTAAGCAGGCATATAGTTCCATTCACGATTCCATGATATGCGCTGGATTGTCCGAAGGAGGTAAAGATTCCTGCCAAGGAGACTCAGGTGGTCCTTTGGTATGCGAATTTAATGGCAGGTTCTTTCTCGAGGGAGTTGTATCGTGGGGACATGGCTGTGCTGCTCCGGGGAAATATGGCGTTTACGCCAGGGTCCGTTACTTGAGGCAATGGATTGACAGTACAATAAGCAGTTATTAAATAAAAAAGTGGTGACACTGCAAATAAAATACAACAATGTCTCAAAATTTTTTATTACGGCTTTACAAGTAGTTGTCTGGTAAAGAGTTGATCAATTACGCTGATCGTTACTCTTAGCGTGGCCTCATCGATTCCCTCTTCACAGCGTCACATAGGTTACTCTAGCTATTATAAGCGTTGATTCGTTTAATAGAACTCTTTACGAGACCTAGATAACTTGGCTTTAAATGGTTTCGTTCTTTTCGAATGAAGTATAGGATTGCTATAGAACCGACTAACAGTACAGCTTTCAGAAACAGCCTTAATTTCAGCTTCAGAGATATGCATGTCACTTAAAAATGAATTTGGTGAGCTCCCCTTGAATTTCAAGTGCAATTAGCCGATCAAGATCATTTTTTTGTTTTGTTTTTCTTTTACACCGAACTTTTGTTTGGAATCCCTCTTTGAGTCTTCGTCATTCAGATTTCACTATTTTTATCCTCGTTAATATTTGTATCATTGTTTTTATCATTTACATTTTAGATTCAAAACATTAAAACTGCGTGCTATTTCTGCCTTTTATTGGAAGCTTTAGACCATTGGCATTAGGGATAAGAGATATACGCTATCGGGTTTTCATTTCCGCTCGGGACATCCACGGATAGTTCTGAGTGTCATTGCCCACGGTGCGGCACACCCTAAGAAATACAGTAGGATCCAGGCCAAACCAACCCCTTCAGTCAGATATAGTTGCAAATGCTTAAAAGAGGTCCAGCGCTCTCCTAAATACACACTGATATTTATTTTCTTGTAAAAAAAAGTAATATAACGGATACAAAAGAAATGGGCGACCTCGGTGAGGATTCAGCCCAGAGAAAGCTGAATTTATCATATCCTTTTCTTTTAACAAATAAGGTCGAAAAAAGGATAGCCTCATGTTTTCTCAGTTGGTTTACTGTAGGTTATAATCGTAACTGAGCCAACAAATTCTTTCAGTTCTGTAGATCTTGTAATTTAAAGAACGTCAAATGTGAATGGAAAATAACAGATCATAATCTGCCCAGTTTTTTTCTCTTATTTTTCATTTTTGAGCTAAAGAAAAGAGTTCGCTATGCAGCTAAGTGTAAACGGTTTCTTACTTCAAGCTATTCTTATAGATGGCCTAGGTTGAGCAGTTTTAATTGAAATTCGATTGGGTTTCCAATCAAATTTCTTAGAACCATGTTGCTTTACCAGGTTAGCCAGATGTTCTGGGTTCATCAAAATTGCTGTGAAAACGTTTTTAATGTTCATAAAATTTCACTTTCTCTGTGTTTAAACAGCTACCAAACTTTACCCTCTGAGATGTCAAAAGACATTTTCTGAAATCATTTTTAAAGCAAGGTTAGCTTTAGTTATTTGCTGACTCTCCCTGCTTTGGTTGTTCAGTTGATCAATCTTCGTACGAAGCTAATAATATAATGCGGCAAGAGGAGAGTTCTTTCCCTAACAATTCTACGACGACAATCATGAAGATTTGGATTCTCTTAGTCTTCGGCGTCTCTTTTTTGGCAAGTCTTACACATGGTAAGTTAATTATCTTCGTTAAACTCTGTTCTGTCAGTATTTTTAAACAGAACAGCCATGTTGTTTTTCTGATTCGCGAAGTGATCATTATCTTCCTTTGAACACATCATATCAAAGTAAAATTTCTGCCACATGATTATAGTTTGATAACTTTGTAGACTATGTAGACTTTGCAGTTCAGATGCTGAACACAAAAGATAAAGATAAGCTTGCTCGAACTCCCTCTTAGTTCATAATTAACATTCTCACCAAATAACTAGATCTCCTGGAAGCTTCCTTTCCTTTGTTGTAGGGACTTCCCCAATCTGGTGGAACTGAGATCCTGAGATTTTTCTCCCTGTTTTGATTTTCGTCATTTGGGAATAATTGTATCTACTCATTCCAAATTGAAAACGTCATCCTTACATCCAAATTGTGAAAAAAAGGTGGAGATAATAAGAAAAGTTTTTCTTATATAAATTTAAGGGTGTGAGGATGTGAACGTAGACTGTATGAAGTGGAAGCGTGGAGGATATTGCCCGAAGTGGAAAGATTATATGAAAAAATACTGTAAAAGGACATGTGGATTCTGCGAAGGTGGTGGTGGCAACGGTGGAAATGGTGGCAATGGCGGTAATGGTGGCAACGGAGGTAACGGCGGTGGGCCACCAACTGGTGGCTCAGGAGACTGCGGATACAAGCCTCACACTCGGATTGTCGGTGGTACAGAGGCTCCTCGAGGAGCTTGGCCATGGCAGGCTCAAATCACGCAACCTCACGGCTTCCCATTTTGCGGCGGAACACTGGTGAATCCTCAGTGGGTGGTAACTGCAGCTCATTGTGTCTCGAAAGACACACCATCGGGCATTCGTGTAAGGTATGTGGTTCAGCTTTGGTAAATTACCCCAGTTGGCTAGCAATGATCGAAATATAGAATGCTGCTAACAAGAACATGTTCTGTATGTTACAACGTTTACTTGGGGCGTCAGTAAGAATATCACAAGGTTATAGAGGGGGAAGTAATAGTAATGGTAAGATTTGTTGTTTCTGTTTTTAGTATTTGCAGCACTTTCAATAACCATCTTGTTGCTTCTCTTTGTTTTGTTTTGTTTTTTCATTTCCGTGTTTTAGAATGGGAGGCCACAAGCGTCGAGGTCCCGAGGAGACAGAACAGGTTTTGGAGGTCGAAAGGATTATTAATCATCACAGTTACAAAAGACCGTATGGTATGGCTCACGATATCGCCATGTTGAAACTGCGTCGGCCCGCTCAAATAAACCAACATGTCGGAATGGCTTGCTTGCCTGGGTCAAGTGGAAGGGTTCCAGATGGCAAGAATTGTTGGGTTACAGGTAAATGCATCATGTGGTCTTAACCTACAATGCTATCAGGAGGAGAGGGAATGGACCCGCCGTGAACAAGAATACCATGATGAAATTGCTTGTAGAATTTATGAGGGATAAAAGATGTATTTATGAATGCGTAAGATTCTATCATCATTTTGAAGAGTTTGGAATTTATATAGCTCGCGACAAAGGAGGGTCTGAATAGGGTGATGGCTTTTATGGTTAAGGGCTACAATTTAGGCCAATTTACGACTTCCATTAATTCCTTTCCATTGCTGTTAAAAGAAAAATGTTTTGATCAAAACTTTTTTTGCCGTTTAACGGCCAACGGTTACCCCCATCGAGATCCTCGAATTTTATTTAATCGTAGATGTTGCGTTTACATACTGCAGGTTTTGGAAGATTGTCATCCGGTGGTAGCTCTCCTAATAGGCTCATGCAAGTCTCTGTACCAATTGTCAGTGAAAGTAAATGCAAAAGAGCATATGGCTCGTCCATCCACGCCTCCATGGTCTGTGCTGGACTCGATCGCGGAGGCAAAGATTCGTGCCAAGGTGATTCAGGAGGACCAATGGTGTGCGAATACAACGGAAAGTTCTTCCTAGAGGGTGTCGTGTCGTGGGGAAGTGGATGTGCCAAACCAGGGTACTATGGAGTCTACTCTCGAGTCCGTTATTTGAGGCAATGGATTGATAGTACAATGAGCCGATATTAAGGATTAGTATCTGAAAAGTAATAAAAAACATCGACCTACATTTGAATTTGTTTGTATGTTGTTATAGAATAATTTCTTCCTAATAGCCAGAAATAGGATTATACGACCTTTCGGATTTTTCAAACTCCTGAAAATTAGTTATTCCAACCCTTAAAACGAACAAATTACGAAAAATTCAACTCTAAAGAAGGAACTGAGTAAAGATTAATAACTTATAGCAGCGTTTTATAGTCAAAAGGGCTAACAATGATAATCTTTTTATATTAAAGTGTCTGGATCTATTATGAAAAGTAGGGAGGTTATTACGATCAATTGTGCTGGAGACTTGGAAAGTTTCATTTGTACTTTGCAAACTTCAGGGTGCTTTGTATTATTATTAATATATTTTTTTGAGATGAAATACCTCTTTCATCATTTACCACTTTCCTGATCGGAGATAGACAAATCAGTTGAGAATACTATGATTTAAAGTTGTGAGTAACCTGCCTAGGAATTTAAAATTATTTCTGCTCTTTCTTATCCCCGTTCAAACTGGTGACATAAATGTGAGAGGGGACTTGGATTTAGAATCTTCGGTTTTCGGTTTTGGTATATGACGTCTGTTTTACTCTTTTGGAATAAGGTTTTTGTTCTTCGCCAGGTTATTTCTCACGCATCAGCATCCTACCTCAGCTTGTCTTGAATCCTTCGCAATACTTTTGGTTAATTTTTGTCTGGTTCCTTGGTTTGGATAGGTTTATTTGTTTCCGGTCTAGCCCAGAAGCCTCACTTAAAATTGCATCAGCTCTCACGGCTAGCTATCTCTATGGACGTCACAGCCTGAGAAATCTATATTTCTCATAATACATTCAACAACCTTTATTACATGCACCTCCTTAGATAGTTGTTTATGAGGTTAGTTTTCTGTAAACGGCTACCCATTCCCTCCTGAGGTAAAAGCCCTCTCCTCAAAAATGAAAACGTAGCCTTTCACAGCTAATCACTCCTCAGCTCGAGCATTTGCCAAAAACGTTGCTTGTTGGAGTGGCAAATAAACGACGTATTCGAGGGCCATTATCAAATTTTTATATGAGTTAAGATATTCTATATTCCACGGATTCAATATAAGAACTTGCTTTGCAATTTTAGAGCGTGGTGTTAATGTATTCCTCCAACCGAAGAAATGATAACTACAAATGAGTAAACGAGTATTATCTTCAGGAAAGGAGGTTGATATAGTGTGGTGTTATTGATAAATTAGAACTTTGTACAGCTCCTATTCACGGTCAGGCAAGCGGCACCGACACTGCTTAAACCTTGAAACTGAAAAATCCGAATCTAACTTTGATCTTTTTATGTCATTTTGCAACAAATGCAATCATGTCACCCAAATGATTTTTGTTTTGTGATCATGAGTATGTAATTGTATATTATCTACAGAATATATTTAAAAAAATGTCACCGATGTGTTAATGAAAAATAAAATTCTATTTCATCAATTTGTTCAATTTGGATAGTGTTCTTGACTCCAGCAGATTGAAATTTCATGTAGTCGGACATCGATTATAGAGCTGTGTCAATGTTATACAACATGTGTATAATGTTATAGATAAATATTATTTGTATTTATCTTAGAACTGTCTTAAATTTCTTGGTAGCTTGTTAAACCATTGTCCAATTCCTTAAAAAGAGAACCGATATTTGTTTGTCCATACGTGAAATTTCATCATTGCTGTTTGGCTAAGGACAAAATTTAATTTTGGACATCGCGTTTGAGAATGGCTGTGGTAACTCGTGTTTAGTAATCTTGTCTCTGTGCTTATTCAGGATGTGAATAGAAGTTATGACGTCGCTGATATAAAACGCTACAATAGAAGGTCCTTAGTCACTCAAAGATTGCTTCAGTTCGCATATATCATGCACTCGAGAGTTTTTCTCTGTGTTTTAAGCGTTGCTTTCCTAGCGAGCTTCGCGCAAGGTAATTGGTATGTTTTTTTTATTATTTACCTCTATACAACTATCAGCGCTATACTTATAGTTATTAGTTAGGGGCAAAATGGCGAGAAAATCACGGGGTTTATTAAGCTCGGGCTTCATAAACTATTATCATTTCACCTATAAAAATTGAGCGACAATAGCGAAATAAGTGAATATATTACAATAATTACGAGCCAATCAAAAACAGAACAAAGCAAAAAAGAGAAATCAGAGAAAAGCGGAAACTAAGAAAGAACGTATTTTTTCATCCTGTAAAACGTTGTCACACTTATTGAATCTTGAGAGTCTGAGTTGAGTTCATTGAAAAAATCATAGTTTTTTAGAGAAGCTTGCAAATACGATGTCTCTGGTTGGTTGATCTTTTAAAGAAACAACGAATACACAAGAATTTTCCTCCTCAGTGTCATCAAGAACACACCAAAAAAAAATGGAAGGTTCGATTAACCTTTGTTTACAGTCCTCAAAATACCTAGTGCTAAACATATTTGATCCTCAGGCTGTGAAGATAGAAGAAGAGAATGTTCAGGCTGGGCGCGAAGAGGGTTTTGCTCCGGAAAATATGAACAGTATATGAAGCAAAATTGTCAAAAGAGCTGTAAATTTTGTGGAGGCGGTGGCGGAGGAGGCGGAGGAGACGGAGGAGGTGGCGGTGGAAATGGTACGTTGCAAATGATGCTGTAAAAAAGCTGTATTAACATCTTGTAATCTTGAAAAATTTAGACCTTTTTCACTGTTATAATCCCACCCAGTCTACCTCAACATTCCTTTCTTTCTTTCTGGTTTATAGTTATAGTTATAGTTAAAGACGTAATTTCAAAGTTGTAGTTGTAACTGAAAAAGTAATGTGTTCGCTTCTTTGATACAGCTTCGATTGTTTACAGGCGAGTTGGGCGTGATAGTTGTAATTTTTAAGTCTTCTATCATTATATATGATTCAAGTTATTATTTTTAAAATCGAATTGAAGCCTGGAGCAAACGAAAGAACTCGACTAATCTGTAAAAAATAGAAAAAGAACTATGCGAGTTAGTCAGCCCTCAGAGAGAGAGAGAGAGAGAGAGAAAGAGAGAGAGAGAGAGAGAGAGAGAGAGAGAGAGAGAGAGAGAGAGAGAGAGAGAGAGAGAGAGAGAGGAATATCGGCGTATCAAAAGTGTTTTGACTTAACATCTTTACAGGAATCTGGTTTACTCAGCTAAAATTTTCATAAGTGCCTAATTCTCTTCATGGTGATGATTAGCCATCGTTAAGGACGTAAAAGAGGAAAAAAAATTCGTCTCTTAGGCCCTATCAGGGGCTTAAGTAGCTCAGTGCTGAATCCCTAATTGCCTAGCTTAACAATCTTCCCATGACTACTCATCGTCGTTGGATTTATTCGCAAACAGTTTAATTGGTCTAACGTTGGAGCGGATGGCGTTGATGACTCATTCTCAACCTTCCCAGGCGTTGTATTTTACCTCACCGGTTTTTCACTCTTTATTAATTCAGGTTTTTCATTCTAATATCTGTTTTATCTTTGCGTGATCCTATAAATTGATTTTCGTTTCTATATAAAATGTCAACCACCAAATTTTTTAGCATCATTACTGATTTACAGAATAGAAAAAGAGATATTATATTTTGCATTTAGCCTAAATATTCCTGGTCTTAGAATTAATCAGCTACTTAATGTTTGCCATCTTTATATTCCCTGTCCAGGACAATGCGGATACAAGCCAAGTGTACGAATCGTCGGTGGTAGCGAGGCCCCAAGAGGAGCTTGGCCGTGGCAAGCCCAGGTCAGGTCGAGTAACGGTTTTACATTTTGTGGAGGAACCTTAGTACATCCCCGCTGGATTGTTACTGCTGCTCACTGTGTCCCGAATAAACCTCCTTCGAGCATTCGAGTAAGGTAATATGATTGGAAGACATGTGAGGTCAGAAGTTTGTATTCGTTGAGATTAAAATAAACCAGATTAATTCTTGATTAAACAGATCTTGACATAAAAAAAGGAAGGAGAAATGTAACATGAAAAAATATATTACTAGTTCCATCGCCTTACATTTTTAGGCTTGGTGCTCACTATCGCAGCCGCAAAACAGGGAGCGAACAGGACTTCGAAGTGGAACGAATCATCTCCCATCGTAGCTATAAACGACCTTATGGTATGGCTCACGACATTGCTTTGTTGAAACTGCGCAGGCCAGCTCAGATTAACAGAAATGTGAACCTGGCCTGCTTGCCTGGATCGAGTGGTGAAGCCCAAGTTGGAAAGACATGCTGGGTAACAGGTAATAAGGCTTAGAGGCCTAGTCTCCCATTTCCTACATAGCTTATACCAGTTTCCATGCAAGAGTATTTTCATTCCTTCTAGACTGGATATTTTTTCCTTGCAGGAATACACCGCCTTCCTCACCCCACCCCTTTTACCCATTCCCGCAACGCTTTTCACCAAAATACTGTCATTTGAGAGGTTTCTCTGCCCGTTTGTTGGTTTTCGAGGGGTAGAGAGCGGCACAGTGAGAAAATACTTTAAAATATTTTATCCCATGGCACAACACAGTGGGACGAAAAACGGATACTGAGTGAAGACCAACGAACATCCATAAGATCCACCGCGCTCGTTGCGGTAAAATGTGGGGAAAAAAAATCCCGGCCCAATGGAAAGAACTCTCCCTACCTGCCGGGCGCTGTTTGAAAAAAAAAAAAAGGGTTACCTAAGTTCTTAAAGATTGTGACACTTATAAACGAGATTTTAAATTTTCTTTGACATGGCCATCCTTAGCGTTTTCGCTGGCCAGACGAAGGTGTCGCTTAAAGAGCCGATCAGGAACTCCAGCATTAGCTGCAGTGGTAGCTCCTCAATTTACACAGTTTTTCAATTCCAAGAGATATCTTCATTATTTTGAATCTGATTTATTATTATTTATTATTATTATTATTATTTATTATTTACTTTACATAATAAAAAGTACCACCAGTTCTATTTTGTGCTTAATGAGGATCTCAAAAGATGGAGCCCTTTCTTTCTTTCTTTGATTGGATGCGTAAAAAAACCTTTTTTTATCTTTCACATTTCAGGGTACGGAACACTCTCTTCAGGTGGTTCACTGGCAGACAGGCTAATGCAAGTTGACGTGCCAATTGTCTCACAGTCCCAGTGCAAACAAGGTTACGGCTCATCAATTCACGAATCCATGGTCTGCGCTGGATTCCGGCAGGGAGGCAAAGACTCGTGCCAAGGAGATTCAGGAGGGCCGTTGGTTTGTGAAATGAGTGGAAAGTACTACTTGGAAGGGGTGGTGTCCTGGGGACACGGATGTGCTGCGCGTGGGAAATACGGCGTGTACGCCAGGGTCCGTTACTTGAGGCAATGGATTGATGATACCATGGGTAGATACTGAGAAATGGTGTCGTTAAATTATAATCAGTCAAAAAAATAAAGTAAAAGTATGCTACAATGTTTGTCTATTATTTAGGAATTTTAGAGTTCCGGGTGGTTCATTCATGACAAATGAACGTACAATAGTCAGCCCTTTGAGTCCTGCGATCGACTGCTGATACTAATGAAGAAATTGGGGTATGTCCAAGGAAAACTAAAGGACAGGGTCATTGAAAGAGAATTAGAGAGAATGCTTTTGTTTGGTAACGACGTGAAAAAAAAAATATTGCAAAATTTCTGTAAACTCCCTAAATGGCTTCCTCTCTTGTCTTCTCTTGATAACGAGACAGAAATCTTCAAAAAAGTCCAATATAACTCGCAAAACCTTGACGTTTGAACGGGTAAAACCTCCTCGATCTTTCATTCTCTACCTCAACTGTGATGTTTTTTAAAAGAAAGGGTTTTTTTCGGAAGTGAATGTTTACCAGCTGAATAAATTGATAGCCAACTCGTCTCAAAGCATTAGCGTTCAAACTTTAGACCCTCTTGATACCTTTTGTCTACGAATTGACACCCTGTTTGAATTCTACAAAAATGGCTCTTGCAATGAAGCCAAAAAGTGTTGTTACGAGGAATCACTGAGCTTAACGTTTCTTATGAAAAATTTACACACAGTTGTATAACCATGAACTGATAGCAGCTGAATAAGAGGATACGTAAAATACAAATTGTTCGCTCAGAATTAAAAGTTTTCTTAATTCCTTATAAACTTGCCTATTTCCAAGCAAAGACTATTGTTTCACCTGATATAACTAATTTTCAAAACATTTCAAAAAACGTGAGGGGAAAAAAATCAAAGTTTTTGTGCTGCCCCTTTGATTTCTGAAAGCGTTTCGACAAATTGTTTATTCCCCACTGGCGTCTATTTACTTCTTTTATAAATAAAAAGCCTTGTTGGATACTCAGGTTTGCCATCTGGCTATAGCCAAAAGGCAGGTATAAAATCAAACTATGCTGAAACTATTGAAATCATTTTTTTTTAGCTTTATATCTTTTGTCAAAGATTGGACAGATTCTTTGAATTATGCAAAATATCGTTGAGACGTGAAATCATCGAGTCCGAATTTCCGATGAAATTGCTATGCACAGCTGTATAACTTTTAGTTGAAAGTCATAAAATAAAAGGATATGCACTTGGCTACGTATATTCAGAATATCACCGGCAAGATGTTGTTTTTCGTCAGCTTGGTGGTCTGTCTTTTAACACCATCACTTATAAAAGGTGAGCTTTTCGCTACTTTTGTCTATCTGTAATAATCTTCCAAATCATCGGGCGTCATTTTAAGCTTATTATTCGGAAGGTGAAATATGGAAACGGTCTTGGTTAGTCTTTTTCTTGCGTGACACATAAAAAGTATGACATAATGTGAGACCCATGCGAGTTTTTCGTTAGGTCAATAGGAAAAACAGTACTGACCACTTGAAATTTCTTGAAAAGTAAGAATATTATATTTTGCTCCCCAAAAGCTTATCTCATCAGTCAGAGTCAAAATATTAGCCCTAGTTTGAGATAAGTGAGATAAAGTTGGATTCCTACCAGAAAATCCAAAACAAAATATTTTAAATGCTCTGGACTACTGAAAAAACGCTGCTTCCGATGAAACGGACAAAGGAACTGCAGCACGGTGCATGCACCATATGTTTGCCATCGGCAGTGAGGTTTAGACTGACTTATATCTATAAAAGAGACATACGATTGCCCCTTTTTACTCCGCGCTCTTTTCACTTTGTC